CCCTCCCCCTGCCCCAGGCACATAGCAAAGGGACACACGCTCTCACTCACACAAGGGCCCTTGGCGTCTCTGCGCAGGCACAGCCTCAGAGAGTCAAACTTTCCACTGCCCAGATGGGGACACTGAGGCCCAGAGAGAGGCGGGAACGGGCTTTCTGGCACTGAGCCGGGCAGAGGAAGGCGAGAGGGCAGAAATGGAAGGGAGATGAGGGGGAGGTGGCCTTTGGTTGCTAGTCCAGTGAGTGGCCCCTGAAATTCTGTCCTGAGCCCGCCCAGAACCGGTGGCAGCCTAGGCCTGAACAAGGAGGTGGTTCTCTGGGATCAGGGAGGCAACGGTTGTGGATTTCTGGAAGGGCTTGATCTAGGCTACTGAGCACTCTGGAAGTCCTCCCCCTCTCCCAGACATTTTCCCCCTAAAAAGAGGAACCCGTCCTGTCCGTGTGATCTTAGGATGGGACTCAGTAGGGAGCTGGCAGAAGGGCAGCACAGATTCTGATGGACCTCCCCAGCTTGCCTGCCCGGGAGCGCAGAGAAGCTGAGTGGGAAAGCTGATTCAGAGAGAAGGAGCCTAGCGAGTCAGCCTTCTTGCTCAATCTGTGCAGGTCCCCTAGGATGCTAGAACTGCTCTGTGGGTGGGCACCTCCTCAGGGCTGAGCTCTGTGCTGGCTACTTACTAACTGGGCCAGTGTGCCAAGCATCCCAGGAAGAGACCGTCATCAGCCACAGCACCCATGACACACATGCGATCACTGGAATCTTGGCCACTTTCTGAGGGCCCAGGCAAGCCCAACTCCACCTGCATAGCCCAGGCCCTCCCTGTCCAGTAGGGTCCCATCCCTCCTCTGGTCCGTGTACCCATTGTGCAGTGGGGCCAGGACGGAGCCATCCTTGGACGTGAGCTAACACTGCATTGGAGGAATTTCCGGCGGGAGCAGCTTCAGGGAGACAAAGGTGAGGGTTTAGAGCAGTGGGTCTCAACCTTCCTAATGCCGCGACCCTTTAATACAGTTCCTCATGTTGTGGTGACCCCCAACCATAAAATTATTTCTGTTGCTACTCTATAACTGTCATTTTGCTACTGTTATGAATCGTAATGTAAATATCTGATATGCAGGGTGCATTTTCACTGTTATAAATTGAACATAATTAAAGCATAGTGATTAATCACAAAAACAATATCTAATTATATATTGTGAAATATTTATTTCTAATTACAAATAAATGAAATTTTGTCTTGAAGCATGGAGACGGNTGTCTCGGTTCCTAAGACCATCGAAAATATGTGTTTTCCGATGGTCTTAGGCGACCCCTGTGAAAGGGTCGTTCGACCCCCAAAGGGGTCGCAACTCACAGGTTGAGAACCGCTGGTTTAGAGGGAGTGAGAACCTGAGGTCGGAGCAACACTGAGATCTGCACAGGAGAGTAGGAGCCTGAGAGTGAAGGCACTAAGGCAGGTGACGCAAGACAGAACAGAACTCCGCTAAGACCAGAAGGGAAAACTGTATATAGAGAGGCAAAGCTCAGCAGGCTGAAGCCCAGGGGAGGCCAGGGAGAGGAGGGTTCAATGGGTGGAGAACAGGGGTGAGGTCTGAGTGTCCTGCCTACCTGGCCAGCTGTCATTCAGTCATTCAATGCTTAGCCCAGGGCCGGCAGGTAGATGGGGTCTAGAAAGCTCTGCCTGGGGGAGAGGCTGCGCCCAGGCCCTCTTCCTGTGCACCAGCATCATTTCAGGGCTCTCAGGCAGGAGTCAGAACACATGGTAGCCTGACCAAGTTGTGGTGGCTGCCTGCAACAAGCTTCCAGGCTAGGCCACGGATAAGGGAGAGATGGGAAAAGCAGGGTCCAGGTTGGAAGCTCTGGCTCTCTCTTGTTTTTTGGGGGCAAGGCAGTTGCAAATGGTTGGGACCAGGAGACTGGAGAGAACACACGCCCTTCCAGACAAGGGGAGTCAGTTTGTCTGCTTGTTTGCTTGTGTGGTTTTTTTCCCCCCCTATTTATTGGAGGAGACATTTCATCATCTCTGGTAGTAGAAAGGCTAATGTCACGAGGCCCATTGTAGCCTCCCCAAGCTTTAGCATCTGCAGTCATGGCCGGTAGCAGGAGAAAGAGGCTCCAAAAGACGTAGAAAGCATTGTGTTCCATGAAAGAAGCCTGTCACAAAAGACCACCGATTATATGATTCCCCATGAAATGTCCAGAACAGCCACATCTGTAGGAACAGGGGAATGGGGGACGGAGGGGTGGCAGCTAAAGGCATGAGGTATTTCTTTTTGTGTTTGTTTTGTTTTTTGAGGTGATGAAAATGTTCTAAAATTGACTGTGGCGATGTTGCACATTCTGTGAACACACACTAAATAAAAGCCACTGAGTTGTATGTATGTATGTTTTAAATAGGCGAATTGTATGGTATGTGAATCATGTCTCAATAAAGCTGTTTGAGAAATGGAAAAAAAAATGCAAAAACATAAGGTATGCTCATTGCCCAAGGAGCCCCACCTGGCCTCGTGCCCCCAGCCAGCCCTCCATTGCACCCTGAACTGCTCTGGTGGCTGGGACCCCAGGAGCTGTCACTCAGGGCCTTGGCCTTCAGGACTCCCAGTGCCGGTGAAAAGAGCCCTGATACAGTGGTCAGGCTTTGCTGGGGGAAAGCCCACTCTGGGGGTCCTGGGGGATAGGCTCTGAGCTCTGTGGGGAGGGAACTGGGGCACTCTTGTTTCTTGCCTCTCCAGGGCCCCGCACAGTGCCAGAGGCTCAGGAAGGCTTCCTGGAGGAGGTGACTTGGAGCAGAGGAGTAGGGAAAACGGACGTTGGTGGTAGAAGGAAGAACACACAACAAGGTGTGGAGGGTATGGGGAGCAGCGGGGAGAGAGGCACTGCAATTAGGTGGGGAGGCCGAGTGCTGGGCTAGCCTGTCTCCTCTGCACAGTGCTAACCCGGGGCTGTTAGCCTGGCATGTTCATAAAAGGAGCGTGGGGGTGGCCATAAGGTGACACCCTGCATGAGGCACATACACACCTTGGAGCTCTTCCCCGTACTTGGGGGATGCGTCTGGGGCAATATTTCTGTAAATACGGTTCTTGTGCCTGGAAGGCTCTTGTGTCTGTGGTTTGTAGTCTGCAATAAGCCATAACTGCACGCCCGGCCCAAGGCCCACTGAGTCACTCGGCCTGGCCCTCTAATTTGGGGGCCACTCCCAGACCAGCCAGGCAGCACCTCAGTCCTGGGCCTCCGCTCCCCGCCCCCTCCCTCTCCCCAGGCCTCGGCAATCTCTGCAGCACAGGAATAACCTGGACCCCAGCTGAAGTGCGCTAGGAACAGCACGTCCTTGCTGGCTAGCAGGAGGCAGTGGCCTCCTGCCCTCTGGCCTCCCAGGGCTGGGAGGAGGCAGCGGGAGGCAGGGGAGGGCAAGCATGGGGGGCAAGGCAGGAAGGAAGAGAAGGCATTTCCTGAGGCCCCAGGCTCTGGAGGAGGAGGAGGAGGAGGAGGAGGAGGCCGGTGCACAGCTGTCTGAGCTCCACAAGAATGAGTGGCAGGACAGCTCTGGCCAACTCATGGGGGGCGTGGGGGTTGTGGGAGAAAAAACCCAGCTCCCATCAGCATGAGCCTGAGGGTGACAAAGGCCTTCTCCCAGCATGCTCTGCACTTCTGAAACATTACCGAACAGGCCCCCAAAGTCCCAGCCTAGACACTTCCCCCAAAGTGCTGCAGAGGCCTGAGTGATCCTGCTGGCACCAGCCCGCCCCTCAGCCCAGGATGTCCCCCAGCCCCCCCCCCAGCCCCCGAGGAAAACCCTTTCCCTGCCAGATGGGGCCAAGAACTTGACCTGAGAAGGAGCCCTGAGGCTGGCTCAGGCTTCTGGGGAAAGCCCCCAGGCCACACTGCTGACTGGCTGCTGGCTCAGAGCAGCCCCCTTCACCTAGCCTTTGTTGGGGCGCTGCTGCCCCAGCCTGGGGCCCCAGAGTGCAGGACAGGTGCTTGAAGGTAGTGGGCGGAGTGGGGTGTAGGTGGGGAGGGGGCGTTGGGGGGTAAGGGCAGGGAGTTGAGAGTAGGGTGAGGCAGGACTGGTGAGCAGCTGTGGGGGGGGTACTTCGGGCAGGGCAATCTAAGCCTGTTGCCACCCTGTGTGTGGAGAAGGGCCTGGAGTCAGCTACAGCCCGTCTGTCCCTCCACAGCTGCCTTACAGCTCAGCTCTTCATGACCTGGCTTCAAAGCTAGAGGGGGACGCCCAGGACAGAAGCAGGGCCTCCAGAGGGCAGGCTTCAAGCCACCGGTTCCCTGTAGGTGGAAAAGTCCGCCTGTGGTGGGAGTCCCTGGAGGGGAGCGCCTGGGAGCCTGGGAGGTGGCCTAGTGGGCAGGGCTCCCAGGGGCTCGAAGGAGGCCCTTAAAGAGGGGGCAGCAAGGAGAGTGCCCTCTGAGCTCCAGCCCACTCAGCTGCTGGCCCACGAGCCTCTGGGGCCTAGAAAGAGCAGCCAACCTGGAGCTTCAGGAGACTTCTGCCAGCCTCCTTCTGGGGTCATCCTGGCCTCCCTGCGCTGCTGTGTCTGCTAATGTAGCTCCCTGGTCGCTCCTGCCTCCTCACATTGCTCCCTCTGTCTGTTCTTTCTGGCTTCCCACTGCTTTTTCGGGTCTCCCTTCTGCCTCTGTGCCATCCTTGGGCACTGAGTCAGTCAGCCTTGGCTTCCATTCTT